TGTCAGTCTCTCCTCCTCTCTCCGACTTCCCCCAGCCTCTCCGAAGACAGATCGTTCCCTTAATCATTCTGGAAAAGAACCCCAAGCTGATATAATATTATAATTAATTAATTCACTAAAAAGGTATTAAATTTCTTTTCCCCCCTGTGGATATTATCTGAATTCATTGACCTTTAGAAAAATCACCCTCTAATTGTAACCAGGTTCAAGTGCATTTCCAGCCTGTCCCTTTTACATTAATAATATCTTCCAGGACTCCGCTATGCTGCTTAAATATTGTATAAATTTCACTGCCCCCTCAAAAAGAGGAGAGRGAGAAAAAGGCACGAAATGAAAACTCAGAGCTGATTAAACCAAGGAAAGAGGGGAGAAAAACTCCAGGGTGGAGTGGGAGATGGACAAAGCTCGGCAGGGTGAGGAATCCCACATTTCCAGCGCTGCCCAGCCGGGAGGAAAATCCCTGGATGGGGCTGTGGGGTGGCTGCAGGGCACGGGAAGGGGTTTGGCAGGTTTTGGGGTGCAGCCAGGTGGGAGAAGGGATGGTCACGGCCTTTTTTGGGTGACCAGCAGCACGAGGAGTGAGAGAGAAGCRAATTCTCGCCAGGATTTCCAAATTGTGGTGCTGCTCACTCAGCCTGGAGCTCCTTGGGGTTCCTGCCCCGCCGTGCCCGGGGGTTCTGTCGCTGTCCCGGCCCTTCCCGGGGCTCTCCATGCCCTTGTGGGCAGCAGGGACGGAGCTCTGCACTGTAAATCCAGATGTGGATGCGGCAGATGTGGAAAATCCAAAGTTTGTGGGGCCAAAGCCGCCCTGGCACACACCCCAACCCCACCAGGGCCGGCAGAACGGGGCCGTTGGGCTCCGGAGGGGTTTGGGGGTGAAAATCCTGCCCGGAAGGCAGAGCTGAGCCTTTCCCAGCACCCCAAAATGGGCTCTGCTGGGTCTGAGCCAGCCACGAGCTGGGGGTTTGATCAGGGGGTGGGAAAAATCCCATGGGAAAGGGGCTGCACCCCCAGAAAGGGGCCGGGTCACTTCCCTGGGTCACCTGGGCAGGGAGAAAACTGAGGAGGGAAACTGAGGCAGGAAACTCTGGAGGGAAACTGAGGAGGGAGACTGAGGAGGGAAACCGAGGAGGGAAACTGAGGCAGGAAACTGAAGAAGGAAACTGAGGCAAGAAACTCTGGAGGGAAACTGAGAAGGGAAACTGAGGCGGGAAACTGAGGCAGGAAACTGAGGAGGGAAACTGAGGAGGGAATCTGAGGCAGGAAAATGAGACAGGAAACTGAGGAGGGAAACTGAGGCAGGAAAATGAGACAGGAAACTGAGGAGGGAAACTGAAAAGGGAAACTGAGGAGGGAAACTGAGGCAGGAAACTGAGGCAGAACCTTCCACCTGCCCCTCATTTTCCTCTTCCCTTGGGTTTTTTTTTCCAGCCCTTTTCCCAACTCCACCATCTTCATCCTCCCCCAGTTCTTTGGTTCACACAGACACTCCCAAAAATCCTCACTGCTGTTAAACCGGGTGTGACGGTTCCTAAAAAAACCCAAGGGTTCCCCAAAAATCCAAAGGGCTCCCAAAAACCAGAGCAGCTCCTTCCGAGCCAATCTGCACCTGCAATAAAGTGGGTRAGGCTGGGAAACCTCTGATGCCTGTCCAGGAATTTATTTATTCCAGAGAAGGGGCTCGGGGTGGGAAGGATCTCYCCCTGGACAAGTTTAGCCTCCTGCTTTTCCATCAGCAGCTTTTTAGGGCTGAGGGATTGGGAGCCTTTTGGATTTTTTGGGGAGAGCTGAGGGTGCTCCCACACCTGGAAAAACCATCCCGGCTGGAAGGGGCTTTGAGGTTTCTCTGGAGCTTTCTCCTCTCCAGGTGAGCACCCCCAGCCTGGCTCCAGAGCGGATCCAACCCTGGAGCAGCTCCGTGACCTTCTCTGGATTTATTCCAGCAGCTCCAGAGATTCTCCAGCCCTGGAGCAGCTCCATGAT